TTACATATGTAGCTACGATCATCATTAGGTAACGTGAAAATCAAAATTCCGGTGATCAATGTCAGGGGAGTGTACTACGTAGACATGGAATCACATAACAGATAACAGTAAAAAAAAAAAAAACGTGATTATCCTGTGATTTTGTTCACGTGTTGTGTTGTCAGCAATAAGATTTTTATCGATAATACATATTATATTATTTAATAAGTTGTTGAAACTAATAAAAAACATTAATGCCAAAGATAAATATATAGTTAAAAAAAAAACTACAAAATTATCCAAATATTAACAAATTCCACATGTATACATGAATACATTAATGAATAATATATAAGATATAGAAATAATTTTATGATAAGAATGTCCTCACTAAATTATGACTCTAAATTATGACTTCCTTATATATTCATATACTTTTTTAGCAGTAACATCATCCTTCATTTGCATCAAATAAATACTTGGTACAGGTGTGTGTGCATTTGATACTGTAATTGCTACTTTACACTTTCCTGTTTTTTGAACTCCCGACTCAGAAACAATCGCGTCTACAAATCTTGCCATTTTTGGTTTGTCTATGTCGATAATAATTCTTTTATTTCGTGATGGTGATTCTAAATCCAATGTCATATCTCCCCATCCAAAATTCTTCCAAACTCCATGATCTTTTTGTAAGAATACTTTACACTTTGCTTCAATTAATCGAGTAACTGTCTGCTCTACTTCTCTTAAACGTTCTTGAGACCGCATTGATGATGTCCGTGGAAATCTTTGTGCAACTAATAGTTCATTGTCTTGCGACATTGTTGATGCTGTTCGTGGAAATCTTTCATACTGTGCAACATTTAGTTCATTTTGCCCATAATTAGGATGTGACATATGACTTCCTGCTGGAGATTGCAGTCGATAATCTCCTGGTAGATTACCAGTGCTTAAACTTTTTTTAATATGTGGTGTTTGTGGACCTTGCGGATTTTGAGGAACCGAAAGTCGTGAATTTGATAGATTTTGTTGGCCATATGTATTTAGCCCAGAAATCGTTGGCGGTCTTGAACTAGCTGTTAACAATTATTATTTTTTTTAAAAAAAAACATGTTACCTCAAAATATTTGTTAAGTACTATCTCATTCAGATTTACGAATACCGACCAGCTTGAATAGTAAAGTTTATCATTTTGCCAAGTTCTTGTAACCACATTTCTTTTTGTTCACGATTCTTTGTCAAAATCACCAAATCCTTTTTTTGCATAAAATTTAATCGAATCGATTCTACCAATATATATATATATATATATATATATTTATATATTTAATTATTCTATTTTCTTCACTTTGTTGAATAAAAATTCTATATAAAAATCAAACAAACCTTCTTTTCCATCATAATTGTCATTTATAGATAAATACCTTCCACTAAATGGTGGATGTAATAAATTAAATTCCTTAATGAAATTGTTTTCTTTTTCTTCCGGACTTAATTTTTGACAGATTAACAAAAGATCTGTCAATAAAAATAAATGTGCTCTAACAAAATTGTTAGGTGAACTGTTTGATTCATAATCTTCATTTACTATAGTAAGGTCAGCATCAAGAATTAGTTCACGACTAAATGGAAGACGCGGAGGGAGAAGATCAATTTTGACTTGCTATAAAAAAATTTTTGTAATAAAGAATAGATATGAATATATTATTTTAAAAAAATTTACTATATTATAGATATTTAAATATTACTTATAATACCTTTTTTTTCAATGTGATAAAATCCACTGTTTTAGTTGTATCCAAGCAAAATTCCAATTCTGTCAACGTCCAAATTTTTTTTACGGGTGACCCTGGAGAATCAGGGTGGTCCATATCTACTAGATAATTATCAGATGGAGCTGAAGGTTGATTAGTTGGTGAGATTGGTAAGTCATTTGAATTTTGCGAATCCTTGGCCCGCTTTTCTGTTTCTATAAGTGAATCAATGCGTTTAATTGCATTTGTAAAATGCATATTATCCGTGCTTCCCGGCTCTGAGTTTCTAAGCTGACGCTACAAAATATATATCAGTTATAGAAAGTTGTAGATAAAATGACAATTTCAAGAAAATTTATTGATCCTAACTGAAAAAAATTTTTTATAATAGTGAATTCTCTTTAATGGTAATTCGAAAAAGGATTCTAAAGTTCTGGGTTGATTCTTTTCTGATGAGATATCCTAAAATAGTAAATTAAAATAGTAAATTAAATAATGTATATATTAGATATTTTTTTACAAATAAAAATTAAAAAAAAATTTATAATAAAATAATAAATTACATTCAACGTTTGTTGCAAAGTCATATTTCCTTCAATCTCAGGTAATGACTCGATGCCTCGTACATAGCCTTGACAATAGTTTGTATATGGCTTTTCCATTCTATCAATCTAACGAGCAAGTTGTAAAAATAATAAATATAACAAGAATTTTGCGTATTTATAACAATCAAAAGTGAGTAGTACTAATTACCCAATTCATTAATACGTCAACGAAACTTTGTGTAGATTGTGGATCATGTTTAATTTTGCTAAGTTTCTAATATTGAATTATAAGTTTTTTTTTTTTTTGTTTTTGTTTTTTTTTTTAAAAAAAAATGAATATTATTAAAATTTATATAGAATTAAAAAAGAAGTAACTAAGGAATACGAACATGGAATAATTCCCGATTTTCCTTATAAACTTTATCGACTAAACAGAACATACTATCTAACTTTTTCGGAGGTGGATGTTCATTATTCCAACTTGTAGTGACTCGCTATGAATAATGAAAAAATTTTACTTTTAATAATAATACGATTAGGAATATTTTAAATATGTTTTATTACTAAACCTGTAATAAACATTTCAAATCAGCCAAATATTCCTCTTCTGTCTCAATGAGGATGCTTAAAGGACTAGTATCTGATTTCACATATGAGTTAGGTGACATTAGAGGTGATTTTGAAAATGTTGAACTTGGTGGCATTAAGGGAGACATTGAATATGATACAGAATTTGAAGGTGACAAAGTTGGAGATGTATAAGGAGATTTTGAAGGTAGACTAGGTGGCATATAAGGAGACTTTGGAGGTAAATTTGATGGCATATAAGGAGACGGAGGTAAACCCGGTGTCATTATAGGAGATCTTGGCGGTACGCTTGGCGTCATTAAAGGAGATTTTGGAGGCATCAAAGGAGATTTTGGAGGCAGGTTCGGAGGCATCAAAGGTGATCTAGGAGGTGAATTCGGAGATGTTGGATATGGAGGTGAATTTGGAGGCATTAGTGAATTTGGAGGAGAATTCGGAAGGGGTGGGGCATTGGGCGACATTAGATGAGATTGTTGAAAACTATTTAAAGACTAAGCCAACATAAAAAGAAAATGTTAGTGACCAATTCTCTAGATGAAATGGTTTAAACAATATAACCTACAGGATCCATTCCGAAGAAATTTTCAAAATCTTTTGAGCAGTTTGTCTAATACAATTTACCAAGAATAAAGGAAAGAAAATAGAGTTTAAAAAGTAAATTTCGCATGTACGTTGCAAATATTAATTAAATTACATTATAATTATTTGTTATAAATCGTACAACTTATGATTCTAAATTAAGATATTCCACGTGCATTGTTATATTTCTTTGAATGGTTAATTATAACAACGATAGGAAAAAGGGTTACATCTTAAACCTAGCTAAAAATAGTAATTTTGTTTCAGTCTTAGATACATATCTTGCTAAATATTAAAGTATTCTTGGTGCAGAAAATCTAATTCTACTAATTGGGGTTTTCACCAATTAAATAAATGAGTTCGTATATCCAAATATACTATATAACATATAAATTCCACATGATAATGATATTTTTAATTCTTGATATTTTTTGATCAATTTGAACACAAACCGTTTGTCTTATCAAATGCTTTGAATCATGTAATTGTTCTTGGGCAAAAAATGAAAGCCAAGATAAATTTTTCACTTAAATTTGAAGTTGCATGTTATATATCAATAATATATATATATATATCAGATATATTAAATCTTCATTAATGTTACACACAAATTCATACTTACGCACATAGCCGTAAATTAAAAAGTGACTTGATGATCTGACTGTTCATAGCAAGTAAGCAAAAAATTTGACCAACAGATCTAATACATATCAATATGAACGTGAATTTTGTGTTATTATTATGTATAATATATACAATACTTCTAAATTTAATATACGTAATGAAAAAAACGATTTATAAAACTTCTAAAAATCTTTCATCAAAATTTTATCGTATTATTACATACAGTCGGTACGAGTAATTTTGGTTCGATTAAACCATTTTTTGGGGTGAACAAAGGTAACCATGCATGCGTACTACATTATACTAGCACGACAATGATTGCGGCCTATCGAAGAAGTAATTTCAAAAAGAGCTGCGGCATTAAAGTTTTTATGTTATTGTTAAGTACAGAAAATGGTCCCTTAAACAGTAAAGAAATTACTTTGTTCCGGCATTGGGATAGCTTAATGAACAATTATATTCAACCAATTGCTTTATTTTATCGATTTTATTTTTATTTTATTTTTTTAAAAAAAGTATTTTATTTTAAGCTTATTACAGATCACAATCACAAGTTGTTTGCGTACGTACGTACGTACGTACGTGTGACGCACATCAACCGGGCGTGTGACGCACATCAACTAGACTGATGAAAAAGTATAAATACCCGTAGCATTCGGTAATGCTTCAATTTCGGAAGTTTTGGTGTACGATAAATGGGAAGAAAAAAAAATAATTGAACTTTTTGTTTTTACGGCGATAAACTGCTAAACGTTGCTACGTATCAAAGGTTTTTTTTTCATTATAACACTACATGTACATAGGGAGGGTTCTAGATACGTATATTTGACGTTAATCAACAATGAACAAAAAACAAGAAAAAAAGAGAATCTTTAAAAATCAATATGAATTAAAAACTGATGAATTATTTCAAATACGTCAGAAATTACAAATTGAAATTCGTCGACAAGGTCGAGAAAAACTTTTAGCATCTCGCCGTAATTATCAAAAAGATCCAAGCCCATATAACAATGATTTTAAAAATGATTTTTATTCAAGTATATCAAGGGTTCCATGGTGTGGTAATATCAAAAAATTAGGAGGAATATGTACACCAAATACTTCATCGGTTACTGATCTTGGCGAATTAGGTTCATATAATACCTCATCAATACCACAACAGTTTTATGAATTGATTGATGGATTAAACTCAAATTGCATAGAAATACAGCTAATTTCACTCTCGAAATTCAGAAAATTGTTGAGCAGAGAAAGTATAATTCCAATTCAAAAAATAATAGAACATTGTGTGATTCCAATATTTGTTCAATTTTTGTCATCAAAGAATGTGGATCTAAGATATGAAGCTGCGTGGATTTTATCAAATATTTCTGCCGGATCAACTGAACAAATTAAAGCCGTAATTGATGCTGGTGCACTTCCTATATTCACAGAATTACTCAGCGATGCGACAGATATGAGGCTGCAGGATCATATTTTATGGGCGCTAGGTAACATCGCTATTGATAGTCCTCAGTTTCGACAGCTCGTTTTACGTGAAGGTAATCTTGGTGCATTATGCCAACATATTCTGAATGTTAATGTTCAACCTTGTTCAGTATTACGTACGATGTCATGGACACTTTCATCCATTTGTCGTGACCATATTACTGATTCAGATTGGCCACAGATTTCTTCAACATTTCCTGTTCTTGCCCAGCTTATTAACTTTAAGGATGACGAAATTTTATATAATGTTTGTTGGGCGTTAAGTTACCTTAGCGATAATAACCATATAGAAGATGTGATTAATTTAGGTGTTTCACCACATCTTGTAAATTTGATGGTACACGATAATACTGAGATTCAAGCTGTTGCTTTGCACTGCGTTCGGAACATTGTCTCCGGCAACGATTCACAACGTCAAGCGATTATCGATTGTGGAATTCTTACGGTCTTGAAATCTTTATTGGTTAGCACAAAATCTTCAATCAGAAAGGATGCATGCTTTATCCTTTCTCATATAGCAGCCGGTAATATTGATCAAATTGAACATATTATTCATGTTGGTTTGATCTCATTAGCGATAAATCTCATGGCAAATTCTGATTTTCAAACACAAAGAGAGACTTGTTACGTTGTATATAATGCAATAAGAAGGTGCTATAACAGGCCAGAATTAACAATATGCATTGTGCGACAAGGATGTATTCAACCATTAGTCAATATGCTTAATTATATGGACAATGATATCATTTGTGTAGTATTAAGAACTATCGGTGCCATCCTCCGGCTTGGAGAAACGCTCGCGGAGGAGAATAATTGTAAAAATCAATGTACTTTGTTAATTGAAGAAACAGGTGGAATAGAAAGAATAAACGAATTACAAAATCACGAGAATGATGAAATTCGTTTACTTGCTTATAACATTATTGATAAATATTTTGCAGAGGAAGATGAAGGGTATGAATCTGAACTTAATCAAAGTTTTGATTTAAGTGAACAAAACAGGTTTTTTAATAAGCAATTTAATTATCAAAGTAACTATAGTATCGATAGTATTGAAATAATTGGTGTCAAAATTTAATAATTCCAAGCATTTGAAGTAATAAGAGAGAAAAATAAAAAATGGTTGTGTTATTTACTGTACTAATTAAAAGTAACCAACTAATACTTATCAAACTTATTTATGCAGATATTAAATTTTATTCGTAGACTATTTTAAAAAATATTTTTAACTCTTTATTATCTGTATTACGCACTTTTTCAAAACATTCTTAAAGGAACATGACGGAATCCAATTACATCTTTCGCATTTAGATAGTATTCATTTATTCAACATAATTATCATCAATATTTATGCAGGTTTCCGAGAAACAACTTTCTAAAATATGAAAATGGTTTTATGTGTCTACATGCAAACAATTAATCTGTAAATTAATTCACTTTAAAACTATATAAAAATAGATAAAACCAAACTAGATCAATGGATTATTCATATTTTATATGTATAAGGGAGTGTTTTTTGGCGAAGGATATGACGAATCGGGTATCTCGTGATTCCGCGACCAAAATCGGGCGAAACTTATTCCATTCGATTCCTCTCGATGAGAAGAATCGAATTATATAAATTTCATTCAATTCTGATCACGGATCACGAAAGATTGAAGTTATACACTTTTCATTTTTTTTTTTTAAGGTGAGGTTTTTTCTTTATCTTTATTTAATAATTTGTATTGAGAATCTACAAAGAAATTCTCTGGCCGGGGCCAATTGTTATAAATTTTTTACAAGAATAAGACTCAGACTATAGATATACTATGAATAGTAAACTATCTAGTTCTATCTAATTTATCTGCAACCTAAACCTATTAGAGTGGTTAAAACTCACCTAGATTTGATAGTATAGAATATTATTAGTAGAAGTACTGTAGTTAATCTATGAGAATATTTACATGGATATTTTTTGATGGCTTTACCAAGGGGTAGACAGGTATTGTCTTTGTGTTGGTGATCAGAAAGATCACAGCTACAGCTATATGTGTATAGTAATCTAGAATAATGTATAGCTACTTGTAATGCAGTCAGAGATTTTACTAAAAATAGACATTAAAGATTGCACCTTTTATATAGTGTTTGTAGTCGATTTTGTGTTAGTCGATTTTATCGACTTAGCCAACTAAGTCAGTCGATTTTTCAAAAAATCGGCTTAGCCGACTTAGTGTATTAATTTATATTAAGAATCATAGTAACCAATCAAATTTTATAAAAAAATAAAATAAAA